TACCTCCTTGTCTTACGTTGATCATAATTCAAAATATCTTATTATTGAAACATGAAATCATATTGCAGTTAGATGACAGTTCCAGCAACAGACTTGAATTCCATTCAAATTGCCACATTTGAAAGAACCACCTCTAGCTGACAAAGACAAAGGCAATTTTTTTGTACGTAAATATCTTTGCTCTTCAGTAATATTATAGTGTTATAGTTATGAACAAGCAACAACTCTAATTCTTTTCATAATGCAAATGGGAAAAGTTCTTGTGATTTTATGATTTAATTAAAAAATGTTCTTGTATATTTTTATCATTTAAAGATCTGAAGTAAACGGATTACTTAAACACTGTTGTCTCCATGTTTACAGGTTCTGCCTTATTGAAAAGATCGAGCGACTTGTTCAATTCTTTCCGAGGACAGACTTCTTGTGAATTTTATGTGTGCGATTCCATTTACATAATAGCTAGATCCGCCGCTCTGTGGAACCTATACATATACATGTAGATACATGCTATGCGGGATCGTAATTGATAACAGTGATCTAGGCCTGGTTATTCTTTTTATGGGAAGGATTTGTGTGATTCTATTGTTTTTAAATTCAGTGAATGGATTTTTTTCTTTAAAAATACCTGTTGGGTTAAAACAATATAACTCAGAACTTGTACTGGAAATGGAACTAAAATGTGTTTTGCATATTGCATAAGGGTTTGTATTAAAATTTGTAAAAAAAAAAAATGAATTCGTTCAGTTGTGATTTATTCTTTGAGAGTTATAATTAAGATGAAATGTATTAAAGCGCTCTTAAAATCATACAAAATGATGTTCTCATGTCATTATTGGAAACGTCTATTGACATTTCAGGAAAGAGATGCCATTGCGACATGTGGGTAAAATGTTTTAAAAACGTTTTAAAAACCATACAAAATCACGTGAATAAAACATTTGCAAAAATGTTCATGTAACATTTTAGGAAAATGTTCTGATAACATTTGCTGTAACATTTGGGTAAAATGTTCTAAAAACGTTTAAAAAACCATACAAAATCACGTGATTAACACATTTTTGGAAAATGTTTTTGTAACATTTTAATTAAATGTTCGGATAACATTTGCTGAAATGTTTTGCTGAAATGTTTTAAAAACGTTTAAAAAACCATACAAAATCACGTGATTAAAACATTTTTGAAAAATGTTTTTGTAACATTTTAATTAAATGTTCGGATAACATTTGCTGAAATATTTTGCTGAAATGTTTTAAAAACGTTTAAAAAACCATACAAAATCACGTGATTAAAACATTTTTGAAAATGTTTTTGTAACATTTTGAAAATGTTTTAAAAACATTTTTAAAATGTTTTTGTGCTAGCTGGGAAATTTGCATAATGTAAGTTTTGTTTCAAAGTTCGATAACTCAAATTATGTCCCTTTGAACAACGTAGACAAAACGATCATTGATTTCTGCTTTATCTTATGTAAATGTTTAAGCAATGCTAACGAGTAACAGGCTTGTATACTATATATAAGACGTTAGGCAGACATTCACAAATGACCATGTGTTAAAGTCTGAGTAAATAACGGTAACGTCGCGTGTAAAGGACTTAGTGTGAGCTTATCTCACTAAACAAGTACTGCTAAGCAGTATCGAAAAGCGTCTTTGATTGTTCTACAAAGTCATCGGCGCTTTGTTTGAGTCTCAAAATATTCACTCATCAGTCAAACAGGAAAGTTTATATTTTTTCACTGTTTTGTATGAGGCGCCGTTTTGGTATTTACTGCCAAAAAGTGATATCACCTATTCGAATAGGTGATATCACCTATTCAATTGGTGATATCACCTATTTGAATAAGTGATATCACCTATTCAGCTTCTGAATAGGTGATATCACCTATTCGAATAGGTGATATCACCTATTCGAATAAGTGATATCACCTATTCGAATAGGTGATATCACCTATTCGATTTGAATTGGTGATATCACCTATTCGAATAGGTGATATCACCTATTCGAATAGGTGATATCACCTATTCGAATAGGTGATATCACCCATTCAAATAGGTGATATCACTTATTCCTTTTGAATAGGTGATATCACTTATTCGAATAGGTGATATCACCTATTCAAATCAAATAGGTGATATCCCCTATTCAAATAGGTGATATCACTTATTCGAATAGGTGATATCACTTAATCATTTTGAATAGGTGATATCACTTATTCGAATAGGTGATATCACCTATTCGAATTATTTATGAAATAACAACTGCTCCCAAGACTATAGCTTTAATTCTCATTTACTTTCACTTTCGTTTTATAACTTACCATTCTTGCAGACAATGGATTACAGCTTCGCATTTAGTTTTAAGCACCCCAGTAGAATTTGTTGTTTGTTTTGCTCACAAATTATATTTATTACACTTATCTATCATGTATACTATATGAAAATTCAAAGGGTCTGTAAGTCTCGTTGACTTTCACTTTCGTTTTATAACTCCTGGGTACCTGAGCGTTCTTGGAGACAATGGATTACTTAAGTTGTAAGCATCGCAGTGGAATTATTAAACTTGTAGTTTGTTTTGATCCCCGATTGTTGCAAAGAAGAGGAGAAAGTGGATTGATAGATGCAGGTAAATAGCGTTTAATTGCTTTATTTTTTCATTACATAACGTAAACACAAGCTATTCCGAGGGGGCCAAGATTAGCCAACATACTTAAGCAAAAAGGGAAAATTAAATCGTTTTTATGCTAAAATCGTCTGTATTCAAGAGGTACGCTTATCTACAGATTGGTTTCATAAATTTAAAGCATTGACTTAGCTTACAGTGGTATAATTTGGAGTATTGGACCACAGGTACTTGGGTCTTGGTTTATAAATATGTATACCTATTGATATGTCAATAGGTATACATATTTATAAACCAAGACCCAAGTACCTGTGTATTGGACAGGTATACATGAGTTTGGGATATTGAATGCGATGTCATTGAAAGCAAATAAAAAAATAGATGTACCCAAATGCATCGACCATGGGAATACAAAGTTGAATACCACGTCTATAACATATGATCTTTGTAGAAAACACATTTTTTTTAATTACTACAATAAATAAAAATGGTCAGCTCATTCTGTAGGCTATAAGCTACCCTGTCTATTCGGAAATAAAAATGGTCACAAACACTCAAAAAATAATCATTTTTTATTCTACAAAGAAGAAGGCATTTTTTCATTTACACATACAAACTGTATTAACTGCAAAGTTTCATGACCCCCCCCCCCTTTTCCAATACTTCTACAATTATGAGACAGACTTTTTTTTTCTTGAAATAGGCATTTTTCTCCATTTTTCATAACATATTACAGGGCTGCACAAGGTACTGAAAAAGGGACAGCGCTTTGAGTGAATGCTTTATCCATGTATCTGCAAATGAAGCAGATCCCCCAGTTATTATACTCATGAAGAGTGTAACAACTTCCAACTTGTTAATGACGGAACTCCATTTAAATCAGGTACAAGTTAAAGTTTAGGCTGCACAATTCTTTATTACAATATTCAAAACTTAATAATTCAGGATCAAGTTCACACAAGCTCACATTCCATGGTTACTTACAACACCATTATGCAAGATAAATTTGTTATACACTTTCATGTTAAATAGTCAAATTTGATTGGTTTAAAAAACATTTGTTAACAAGTACTATTACCATACTGCATGCCAGACATTACATCCCAATGGTTGAAAATGCATGACTACGGGTAACAGTATATATAGTAATAAAAAATGTTAACTGTGCAGAATGTTTGCACGTTCGTTTCACCTTGTTGTTTTCTTTAAAATGCATTCTATAACAAGAAAAATATTACCTGTTTATTTTGGGTGATGTGAAATTCTTACCCCTTAAAAACCATTGCTGACCGAGGCGAGGTCAGCGATGTTTTTTGTGGTATAACAATTTCACGTTATCCTACTAAACATGTAATATTTTCATGTTATATGTACTTCTATTTGTAAATGTTAATGACTGTGAAAAACATAAATATTTATAAATTAGTAAAATCAATTTAATACACTATGAATACACAAAAGGACAAATTTGTACATAATTCTCTATGATTTGGTTAATTAGTTTATATAAAGGATGTAAATGGACATGACATATCATTGTTAATATTCAAGAAAGTGTTCACTGTTTTTCTTGTAGATGCTCCTTTCCATCTGATGTTTTCCAGGTTTTTGTGAAAAGTTTTCTTAAAAATGGCACAATTCAACTACAAATACTATGCCAGTGGAACTGTGATATCAATCAACTGCTTATGACACTATTAATTGGCAGAGAATTTATTTTTTTTTTATTTGGGACAAGCAATCTGTTTCAAACATTTTATACCTGCAAATTGGTACATGTACTTCATGAAATGCTTGAAGGATGCTAAAGGCTACTGAAATTCCAAGCCAGATGAAATTCAAAAGGATTGATACAAAAGTCATTTGAAGTTTTCTATTCTTAGTGATGAGTGTTTTTCAGGATGCCCTCTGATATCATAGGTACAACTGGTCACTGTCCTTTGTTAGTTACACATGCAGACAACTTATTAAGGCAGTGATATAAGTAGCTCGAAGTGATGCTTTATTGTTTTCCTCAGATTTATAACCTGGATTGATCTCTGATGCAGTAATTTAAAGCCATGTCTTTTCACTGTCACAAAGTACTGAAATAAAAATAATTTTGATTAAAATATTTCTTTTAATTCACATCATTAAATTTTTAAGCTACAGAAATTCATATTAATTACCTATTAGTAAATAGAAATCTTTAATTGATTAGCAAGCCTTTGCATTGTCAGATCCTTTTCTGAAAGGGCCATTTACCTTTAACAATGTCAGGACAGGTGAGGCAACTGGCTGGTCTTCATGCTGGAAGTGTGTGTTAACTCTTTAATCTTTTTAAACAAAACCATCCAGTGATGTCCTAAGATTGCCAGATGAGCAGACATATACCTGTATTTAAGAAAGATTCTGTAACATGACATAGAATTTTTGCACAGCTTGACGCACAACTGATGGTATCTTAGGTGCCTGCAAACTAATAAATCTGGCACATATTTATTTATTTGATACAAATCAGAACAAAATTTGTCCTTTTACAGAACAAATTATTTTCATTTTAAAGAAAAGAGAAATGCATATGTACTGTTTTAATACATATAACCTGTATTATTGGATATTTTCACCCCATTCTAATTTTTAAAATATTCACTCTTTCACCCTTGAAAACAATTTTGCCCTTCTAAAATTTGATCAGACACATTTGTGTTTAAAAGATATATGCTGCCTTCTTCGAATTTGTCCCGTTTTAAATTCACCTACTTGTAAGGAGGGCAGAATGAGAAAAATAAAACTTAACTGGGGCGAAAAATTTCCAGAACAAAGTACCATTACTTGCCTGCCTGTTGTACTATAACTCGATCCTCCAACCTTACAATATTCTATAATCATTGCTTTCATGCGATACCCCCCAGTGGATTGATGGTCTCTTTTCCAAATTATATGCACTTTCTAAAAAGAATGAATTTGTCAATTTATAAAATTTAGTATTACAAGTTAATAAAGACAGTAAAACAATGTTAACAACATTTATATGCAAATGAACCTCTGTACAAATCACTTATAAATGATTGACAACTTGTATGGAATATATCGAATACCCTTAATTTTGACATTTGGAAACCCAGCGTTAAGGCCAAACAAAAAATATGTGTGGTTCTGGTTACACCTCCAAAAAAAATAGGGAAGGTGGGTAGGGATTTTTTTTTTTTTTTTTTTTTTTAACAAAATGATTTTCTAAATTTTTCCAAATAATACCCATTTCTTTTCGTTAGCATAAGTGAACTATTTTATGTGTAGAGTGTTAGATATGTTTTCTCTTAAGCATATGGATTAGATATGTGCTTTAATGTGTGAATAAAATGTCTTGGGTATTTAAACAGTTGTTTGCTGATTCTATTCATTCGAGTTCATACTCATCCAGAAAATACAATGTTTGAAGAAAATCAGCATGAGCAAATTGAATTATTTAACTGTTATTTGGATATTATATTTTCTTTTTTTAGAATGTTAAGTTTTTACGAAGATGATAAGTGCTGTCCTTGTTTTTAAAGGATGATATTAATTTCAGAATTGTATATTATAAGTAAAATTAATGGATATCTTAAGCATTATACATTAAATCTTAAATATAGATCATGATTTCTCCATCGGAATCTGCTGCGGAAGTCTTAAACTTTATACATGATGTACAGGTATATAAAATCTAAAATTGTATATTATAGAATGCGAAAAAACAGAAATATTTTGTGAAGAGCTGAGTATATAAATCATAACTAATAAATGTTTTGTTTATTTTGAATTCAGTCTTTTCCAACTATGGTTCAGAAAAGAAATGTTTTATTTGTGGATGAACAGAGTGAAGGAGAAAATAAGTGGCATTTCGATGTGGCGTGAAATATACTAGTCAACATTGGTAGGGGGCACCCTAGTTATGAATATGAAACAAATATTTTTAAATCAACAAGATGTGTTTGTGAAACACTGATGCCCCCATATGGCATCTTATGGCGAAGGTTAAAGTTTCTCAAATGCAAGTCAAAATCCAGGCCAAAAGATAAAAAATGTCAAATTTGACAGCCCTAGCTGCAACTGTTCAAAAGTTATGGCAAAGGTTAAAGTTTTTTAAAAGTAAGTAAAACATCACGGTCAAGGTCAAAGTTGTTGGTATCCAAAGAAAGGTCTTGTTACAAGGATTACACATGTGAAGTATGAAAGCCCTAGCTCCAACCGTTCAAAAGTTATAGCCAAGGTTAAAGTTTTTCAAAAGTAGGTCAAACTCTAAGGTCAAGGTCAAAAGGTCATAGTTGTTGGTATTCAAAGAAAGGCCTTGTCACAAAGAATACACATGTGAAGTTCGAAACCCCAAGCACCAACTGTTCAGAAGTTATGGTCAAGGTTAAAGTCTCATAAAATTTTGCAAAAGTGGGTCAAACTCCAACGTCAAGGTCAAAAGGTCAAATACGATGGTACCCAAAGAAAGGTCTTGTCACAAAGAATACACATGTGAAATATGAAAGTCATAGCTCCAACCAATCAAAAGTTATGGGCAAGGTTAAAATTGACAACAGACAGATAGACAAACAGATAAACAGACAAATAGACAGACAGGACAAAAACAATATACCCTCGGGATCTTTCGATCCAGGGGCATAAAAATAATGAAAACACAATCTTTTCTTTTTGTAAAAAATAAAGTCCAAGGTGAACATCCTTTTGTTTAAAATCAGTGTTTATAAATGAAATTAATTACTTTTATCCAGAATAGTTCTTATTTTACTTAATAATAAATTTTGAACGATAAACTTTTAAGAGCTGTCAGAGGAAAAGAATGTGACACCTATACTTTGTACAGTAATGTTTAAAACAAAATAAATCACCTAAGCAAAATGACATAGAATGATTCAAATTCGTCAGAATTACAAATATTTAATATTATTAAAATTTTAAATCCTTTCATGAAACCTTTTTGCCTCATTGAAGACTTCATACTTCCAAGCTCATTTCTCATATATATTGGTGTTTTGCAAGTTGACTTTATTCAGGTGAAATCAGCAGTCTTCTTTTTCACGTTTCCTCATGAACTGTTTTTTTTTTCTACTTTCGGTTTAAAAGAAACGATCCTGATATAAATTATTTAATAATTTACAAGTTAATCTATCTTACACATAGATTAACTTGCATAATTCTTGCATAATCAATGCAATCAAATAAATGTTTTCTCATGTTATCTTCCCTCTAACTCCAAAAAACGTTACCTGGCCAGCTGTCTGTGTGCTTTCAAGCGAGAAGTGATTTCCTATCCTGACTTCACACCTTTGCGTGCATTAATAATAAAGGGACTAATCAACATGCACTTGTTATAAACCAGCTGTAAACAGAGCAACTAATTGAATCTCGCCACTCTTGGGCATATTTATTTAATTTTGGCAACCAAAAAACAAACAAACAAAAAACATGGCGCTGGAAAAAAGTATACTGCTGCGCCATGCAAGCTTGCTTTAGATTTAACACCATCAAACACTTGCACTACGTGTTGAAACGATTTTTGCATGGAGGTCGCCATTGCTGGAACTAAAACTAATACCGAAGTGGATGATGGAAATCACGGAAAATTCCGGAAAATAAATATGAAAATTGCCAGAAAAAAGTTAAGGGTTGGGGATCTAAAATAGGGACGGTCGGGTAACGGGAACCACACATATTTTTTTATTTGGCCTAATAATATTCCATACATGATTGAGCTGTCACCTGATGAACCTTTAATTCTTTTCTATTTTTTATATGCTTTATATGTATATGAATTATAAGAGTAAATGTAAGTCCAAAAACTTATTTTGTGACATCAATTTCATACCTGTATTTGAGTTGCCTTTTTGAGGATATACCAGGTAGATTATTCAAAGTCGATGTACATGTAGTCTTACATGCTGCAGTTTTCTTGTACTTTAGCTATAAAATAAATTTTAATGTATACAATTGTGTAAGATGAAAGAATATTTCAAACACTGAAACAGACTGAAACCTTAACAGACCAAAACTTTAACCAAAATATCCTCTTTAACATGCTTTCTAAACTGAAGAGTATGGTCATATAATTGCAGTCATATGAATTTTGTTCAATGATAAATGCAGAGAGAATTTGCAGAATATATAAAGAAAGTCTTATCGTTGGGAAATAAGCAGGTCCAGTAAAATCTCTTAATTTAGCTATATAGCTTGAAATAACTATATAGCTTTATTAAGCTATTCAAAATAGCTTAATTTAGCTATTTATATGCAGTTTTTCACAAAAATTATTTTGGTAAGAAATAGACAAAAAGTCGCATGTATTTGACCATTCATATATGTGCTATGGGCTATCGAAACAACAAGCAAAATCAAAGATATCTCCAACTTTGCAACTTTTGAATACTTTTAAGCAAAAGATAAATTTCTATTATTTGAGTAACTGTCCACTACCTTGTGTGCATTGAGGCATGGATAAGTATGATTGCTTCTCATTGTACTGAATTATTACCAATCAATTATCTTCTTGACCATAATTGGCCTCCTTTATAATTTCATTGAAGAAGTAACTGTATCAATTGCGCATGTAGCCTAAAAACTTTTAGAACTTTGAGTACAAAGTCTCTTTTGTTTCTATTTTCCTAATTATCTCCCCTTGTTTAAGGGTCACAACCCTAGTTTTAGTATAAACGGAAGCCCTTGGCCCAAGGATACCCTGTGACAAATTTGACAATAATTGGCCAAAGGGTTCTTGAGTTATGGCCCATATTCTAAAAAGTTTACGCACACTGCACAAATGGCCATAGCATTAGCTCTTTGGGCCTTTGGCTCAGAAGAGCTAAAAATGAACCTCTTACATTGATTTTTGGTTGATATTTTTTACAGTTTTTTTATGAACAATGTACAGTATTTTCACCCAAATTCCAGTATTTTGAGGACTGCTGTACAGTATTTGGGCCTAAAAATTATTACATGAATGCAAGGAGATTTTAATGAGTGAGTTTTATAATGCATCAATTTCAGATGAGTTCAAGGTTGAGTATCATCACTGCACCAAGGTGCGACTTTTTGTGCATGCTGAGAAAAGTACACATTTAAGAAAAACTGATATAAAATAGCTAAATTAAGCTATTCTGAATATAGTTAGAATAATCTAACTGTGTCTCGGGACAAGCCCTCACCACAGTTAGAATACGTCCCATATACTTGCAATGTAGCAAATCGGAGTGGATCCACTCCGAAATGATTTTGAAGAATACAAAAGGAGTTGCATTGAAAATAACTACCAAATTAATCATAACAAACATTTTTGAGATTGTATATGCCTTTTAACCTACAAATTAATCCATATATATACGAAAATTCAACTCATTTTCTCAACGTTTTTTCCTCGCTTCAAATTTAACGCCATGTTGACATTCGGAACTCTCTGGATTCTTCATACAAAATGCAGAGAATTCGAGTTATCGCCCGTGTTTATTTTGCTACATTGCGAATACACGGAACAAATTCTATCGTTAAACCGGGTCTGTAGGACAATATCATTTTAACGATAGAATGTTCTATCTATTCTGAATAGCTTAATAAAGCTATATAGCTAAATCAAAAGATTGTACTGGACCTGATAAGTGCTTTCAAACATTGAATACTTATAAAACTAGACCCACTGACATGCAACAGCTTAATTTCTGTTGATAAATGAAGCGTATTCTGAACAAATTATTTACCCAAACAAAGGTGATGCTGTCACAAGATGACGTTCGTACCCATCTGACACTTACACTACTCCTCCTTAATCAGCTGGTAATAACATCATTATCCTCGATTTCAAGAAAAATCTGTTAATAAATTAGTTGTAATGATGATAACAAAACTATTCTAATCAGATACAAATGTATAATATAAGACTTCTATTTCACCCAAGAATACCCAAGAAACAGGTGACATTCTCTGACTTGTTTACCTGTACTTCGATTGAAATTCTCCTCCTACTTGCTCGCACCCAAGCTTTTACGACCCTCAATTTATCCATCGTAAGTCGGAGAACCCTTCGGCTTTGTACAACTGCATAACTTTCCTTATACGCTTTGTGTAAACCATAAACATGCATAACGCAATACACATCTTGCATCTCCATGTGTGAGGTACCCGGAAGTTAATATTATCGAAAAATCTCGCGAGTCACGTGACGAGACTTACAGACCCTAATGCAGCCCGAATTTGCTTGGTTCCAATGAAAATGTAGATAATCTTGAGGAAGGGAGCATTCATTATTTATTGTTGTAAGAAATGCAAATAGGTGATATCACCTATTCGAATTGGTGATATCACCTATTCAAATTGAATAGGTGATATCACTTATTCGAATAGGTGATATCACTTATTCGAATAGGTGATATCACCTATTCAGCACGAATAGGTGATATCACCTATTCGAATAGGTGATATCACCTATTCATTTCGAATAGGTGATATCACCTATTCGAATAAGTGATATCACCTATTCGAATAAGTGATATCACCAATTCGAATAAGTGATATCACCTATTCGAATAGGTGATATCACCTATTCAATTTGAATAGGTGATATCACTTATTCGAATAGGTGATATCACCTATTCGAATAGGTGATATCACCTATTCGAATAGGTGATATCACTTTTTGGCAGTAAATACCAAAACGGCGCCTCATAGTTTTGCCTAATAATAAAAATTGACCAAGTATGTTTTAATTAGACAGTACACCAAGCATTACAATGCAATGTATTGTAGGACAGTTATATTTTTATTTAAAAGCAAAATTAATTAGCTTGCAATTAAAGAACTTCACTCGACACTCCAATTTTCCTCGGGATGTTTCGCATATATCCATATCAGTCTTTCAATAAAAAAAAAATCAACAAAAGTAACTGTTCTTTGATGAGAACTTAGTTCTAAGTACTGTTATCAGAATATATTCTGTTTATCCTTCCTGGTGCTTATCTGCATCACTCTCAAAATTTACACTCATCAGTCAAACATGAGATTTCTCTCTTTTTCAATCTTTCATATACCCAAACTAGGCGTTGCATAAAATAATAAACAGCAATGAAAAAAATTGTCCAACAATCCTTCGACATTATTACTGCATTGTTAATTTAGATTCATATGAAAGAGAAGAATCATATAAGAAAATGTGAATGAAAATATTCCATCTAGTCCTTTTTTTCAAAACTTTTTTAAAAATAAAAAAATTATTAGAAAATATGTTGATTTACACCTTATTTTCAATACCATAATGTAAAACAAAAATGGACTTCATTTTGTTGATTGACATTGCATTGCAGTGCAGTGCAATAAAATGCAGTTAAATTCTTATTATGGTAAACAGTATAAATTCTCTTGCAAACAAAAAAAAATCCACTCATCAGTCAAAGAGAAGTGTTCATTTCTTTTGGATCTTTTGCGTATACCCAAATGAATCATTCGATAAAAAAAAGAAACAGCAACAAGTAACTTTGCGAAAGTCCTTCGACTTAATTACTGATTTTTAATTTTGATTCATATCAAAGAAAACAAAATATTTCAGAATATGAGAATAAAAGAAACGCTCTCTTAAGTCTAGCTCTTTTCTTTGAAACTCTTTTTTTTTCGAAGCATGAAATGAAAAAAAAATGTGTGTATTCAATCAGTTTTTAAATTCAATTAAGAAAAAAAATTGACTAATTTAATTTTGATTGGACAATTTGGCAGGCATCACAATGTATCGCATTGTATTGCAACAGTGTGCAGTATGGTGCAATTCTACTTGCGCATACCCAAACTAGTCATTCGATAAAAAAAACAGCAACACGTAACTTTGCGAAAGTCCTTCGACTTAATTACTGATTGTTAATTTTGATTCATATCAAAGAAAACAAATATTTAAGAATCTGAGAATAAAAGAAATGTTCTCTAGTCTATTTTTGAAACCTTTTTTTTTTTTCAAAGCATAAAAAGAAAAAAAAAGTATGTGTATTCAATCAGTTTTTAAATTCAATTAAGAAAAAAAATTGACTAAGTTAATTTTGATTGCACAATTTGGCAGGCATC